AGTGCGACCACCCATCTTGCCATTTTTTAGGGTTACCCGTAAGGTCCAGTGCGCCCAAAATCAAGGGCGCCCTGAGGTCCCCTAATCTCCGCCGCCTGGTCTAACCAGAGTACCGTCAAAACTCACACTCGTCTTCGCGCCTAAGTCCCAAAACCGTAGATTACAGGCGGCGCACTGCTTGTGGCCGCCTGACAGTTAGCCCGGACCACTTCTTGACGCCCCCGTCGAGCCCTAGCAACTTACGTCAGACGAAGCGGATGAGCTTCAGGGTTATGGTCCGTAAAGGACACCCACGTCGGCGCTCAATTGTCTTATGTTTAAGTTTGTTACGAGTCCTGGGGCTAAGAAGATGCTTGCAGCGCTGCATCGTAGTGAAGGACCATATCTCCTACGCTCACCCTCTCTTTCCTGATTCGCACGTTCTTATCCCATCTCTCTTTACCCTTGTCCCTTTCCACTACCAGACGATCTGCCGCTGTCATGAGGTCATCTTCCAAACCGTAGGCTATTTGTCTCGTTTGGGCAGCTAAGAGTTCCTCTTTGGACATCTCCTCCGCCCTGTCGACGGTTGTCCAGCTGTCGATGTGAAACTCTATGGGAAGCGGACAATGTCGCCCAAACCACAAGGTGTACGGTGGGTATCCGGTACTAGCCCGGACCGTGACGTTGTCCGCCCATATTGCGTATCGAAAATATCGTGGCCAATCACTGTCCTTACCCTTGCACCACTTGGACAGTGACGCTATCAGAGTCTGTTCTCCCCTCTCTACTGGGAGTTCGACTGTGGGTGATAGGCGGTGGCTATCGAAACTCTCGCACCGGCTCTCCTAAACACGCTCTGAACCTCGTCGGCTAGGAATTCCGCCCCTCTGTCCATCACTATCTTGCTGACACAACCATACCTAGATAAGTACTTTAGGACAAAGTTCTTTACTTCCTTTGCCGTCTTACTCCTGATAGGTCTACCGTCCACGAACCCAGTGAAATCGTCTCGTATGTTCACGACGTAGTTCATATTGCCTACCCCTCTCGGCATTTTCACTAGATCGATGTGTACCTTCTCTCCTGGTCTGGTCGGATAGGATGGACGAAGTGGCTCTTTGTATTTCACAAGAGCTCTCTTTTGGCACTCTTCGCATGTCATACAGTACCTCTCGACGTCTTTATACTGTCCATCCCACCAGCACAGCCGGCGTATCTTTTCGTAGGTTCCTTTAACTCCCCTGTGTCCTCCGACTACCCCGTCGTGAAGTTCCGCAACTATCGTCTGTCTCTCCTCAGGATCACAGACTACTCGTAAGGGCATTCCCGACCCTACTGGCCTTCGGAAAAGGTGGCCCGCTCTAAGGCAGTACTGGGCTGCTTGCCTCCGGATTTCTGAATCTTGACTCTCCTCTCCCGTCAGGTGTAGTCCGATCATTCGGTACTTGCCCTCGTAAAGATTAACTAGAAATCTCTCGGCGCCCCTCGGCTCTGCCATTGTCAGAGCCCCAGCTACTATCGGACGCTCGAGAGGGATGCGTGAAAGTCATCTGCCACGACATTTTTCGTACCAGATACTCTCTCAACCGTGTAATCATATAGTCGAACCCGTATTAACCATCGGGCGATGGTCGGGTCCGTCAGACTAAAGTCCTTCTGGAGGACAGAGGCAACCGCGGTGGGGTCTACTCTGAAGATGAACCGTCGCCCATAGATATAGTGTCTGAACGTGTCTAGACACCGGAGAACAGCTAACACTTCCTTCTTGAATTGACTGTAGTTACGCTCAGCCGTATTAAGTGTCCTACTCTCAAATCTTAACGGTTTTTCCTTCCCTCCAGCGTCCTTCTGAGACAACAAACCACCCACTGAACATGGTCCAGCATCCATGGATACTATGAAGGGTCTCTTGGTCTCATCGTCAAAGAATGGCACACCCAACACGCGTCCTCCTTCCTTAAATTCGTCTTTAAGTTCTTGCATAGCAAGTTCCTGCGAAGAATTCCAATAGAAGTTTTCAGTCTTTCGAAGGAGTAACCTCAACGGCTCTGCCTTCTCCGTATACCCCCGTATGAATATACGCCAGTAACCGACCACTCCTAGAAACTGTCGGACCTCGGTTGGGCTATGTAACGGTGAGGGTCAGTTCAGAAGTTTGTCTAACTTCGCCGGATCTGCTCAGCGTCCTCTCGAGTCACAGATAAAACCCAAGATCTTAATTGTCGAGACGACCCATCGGCTCTTGGTTCCGCTGACTGTTAAATTCGCATCGTCCAGCTGCTCGAGTACCGCGCAAATATCTGTTAGGTGCTGCTCGACGAATCTTCTAACTCCAGGTATAACCTCTGTCTCATCCCTGTCTACTGGCCCTTTTATAGGAAAGTCATCCAGAAAAACTTCAACCTTATCAGGGATGAAGTCMTTGAGGACGGCTACCATGGCTCTCTGAAAAACGGTTACCCCATTAGTCCAACCCATAGGGAAAACCATCATTTGAATTAGTCCCAATGGCGTATGCATAGCCGTGAGGTGTCTGTCCCTAGGGTCAAGCGGTACCTCATCATAGCCTGAGAACAGATCACAGACCGAACAGATCGACCTACCTGCTGCACCTTCTGCCAGTAAATCGGCATGTGGCACGGAGCCCACGTCTCGTATCGTCACCGCGTTGACCTTCTGAAGGTCCTGGATCCATCGGATCTTGCCATTCGGCTTTCGTAGGAAGAACCATCGATTTGCATAAGCGCTATCAGACGGCTCCGCAACGTGGGAAACCATCTTTTCTTTCAGGAAGTCGATAACTTCTTCCTTCTCCTTCTGGGCGTATTTTCATCCCGCGTCGTTCCAGGGAACATGTAATATCGTATAAATCCTTGCTGGCTTAGCGTATCGAGGGTCAATCCTACCGCGCTCCGCGTCACTAAAAGCTATGGCCTTATCACATGTCTTCAGGATTTCTATCACACGTCCTCGCTCCTGTGGGGTCAGATTTCCATCTCCGATGTTTATCCCTGCTATTCTCTCTTCCGTTAGGCGTTGTGGCTCCTTTTTCTTTCTTTCTTTGATTTCTTTCGCGATCTTTTCTTCTGATACCCCTTCCAATGCCGTTCGCTCGCGGCCCACCGCTGCTGGCTTAACTTTTTGAGCTACTCGCTTGTGTCGCTTGGGTAGCCCCCCATAGGGGGCCGTGCCCTTAAAAAAGACACGGATACCACACCGCCAAATTCCTCATCTCTTTCCTTTGGTTACGAGTTGCCGTCCACTATTAGCCGACTCCCTAAATCTTCCACCTCCACGATCCGACCTTCTTCCTCTGTAAGCAGTGGTCCAAATCTCTTCTCGCGAAATTGCACCGCGCGGCCGGAGATAGGTAACGACTTAATCTGATCACTAGGTCTTGCACCCACAGCGAGAGCTGCTTTGTTCCTCGGGTCCCGAGGCTCCACTGCCTCAATCATCACCCGCGTCCCGTCTGGCTTCCTAATGGACAATGTTTGGCTCGCATCAGGTCGCTCTATCGTCACCACATGCACGCGGCTCAGCCACGTTCGACCCAAGAGCATGTCGGAGCTACAGTTTTTGACTGCAAAGACAAGCAGGGTCACTCTTACCCCTTGAACCTCTATGGYTGCCTTGTGACAAACCCCAGTGATCTGTTGCTTTCTCCCATCAGCCGTCTCTATCTCGAATAGGTATGATCTATCGAGGCCCAGTCCAACTTGTACTGCCAGGTCCTCGTCTATGATGACAGCCTCACTGCCGTTATCAATCACAGCATCGAGTATCGCTCCATCGTTTATAATCGTCTCTACAGCCCCGCTACCAAGTATATAAAACTTGTCTGGAGGCACACCTTCCATCCCATCGAGAAGGACTGTCGCCATGCGATCCTCTCTGGCAGTCACCCCCGTTACCGCTACTGTAGAAGCTTCCGCTTTAGGGACCCCCTGACCCTCCTCTGATCGAGGTATGCGAGTCTTCCGCATGATCATCTGTAATTCATCACGAGCCGGCTTCGATGCCGCCAGGTACTCCAGAATAGAGCACTGCATTGGTTGCTGAAGGGTCCGCCTCAGTGGCTCAACCGTGTCAATCTCGTCCAGCGAACTCTTCATTAAGAACTTCTTCACTCCTCTCTTTCGCGGCGAAAGGATAACCTCCTCTCCATCGACTCGCTGCCCGTCCTTCTCCGTCATCACGTAATCCGTGTCAGTCTTCTTCGATGTAGACCCTCTTGCCGACTTGGTGGCTGCCACCCTTATGGGTGTGGTCGCGATATCCCCCTCAAAGATTATCTTGATGCTCTGGCTCCTGACCGGCTCCATTCCTTTACTCGTCTTTATTCTCCTTGCTTCGACATTC